ATTTGTACTTTTTTAAACATTTAATTTTGTTATCAAAGAAATTAAAAAATATTATTAGCAGTCATTATACTTCCTAATGTAATTTGTGCATAGTTTAGTTCATCAAAATGTATGACGCACGTGAAAAAAGGTCCTTAATTAAAATCAACGTCATGAATTTATTCATTTATAATAACGTCTCAAACCATTTTAATATATTGATTGGAACTTAAATAAAATTCAGTGAAACATGAAATTACTCGCCAGTTTTAGTTAGGTAATAATTACCTTTGAGCAACGTAACAAATATTCTTATAAGAATAATTTTGCTTTAAAGGATCGAACGCACACAAAAACATCTTTAAAAATTGATAATCTCTCATATCAATGTTTTGTGATTTGCTTCCTTATAGAACATTGCTCGTAGCAAACATATTTAGCGTGTCAGCGTTTAGAATAACAATTAAATTAAATGGTTTAACGTTGTGCTTATTTGGTTAGCATAATAATTTTGTTTTGAAAAGAGAATTTCTTTTCAGTAAAAAGAAGTTACTAATTACTAGTCAACAATTATTGTTTGCTGTTTGATGGCATATGAATAATTGATTAGTCTAGTCTCATGCATTTCTTATGATTTCGAATCAGACATACACTAATGTATTTAGTGCACCAAAGATAATGACGACAAGGCACTTTGTGTTTCCAATTGCTGCATTTTTTAAAGTGAAATCGCTTTTTCTATTTCATCAATTCGTTTTGTACCACAAAAAGATAGTTTTTCTATACCTACGTCTTGGAGTGTGTTATAAGATGTATATTGTTACAATGTATTACAATTTCGAATGATCTGAAACCGAGCTAAATGATAATTTAAATTTAGTAGTTAAATATATATATCGAGATGTCTTCAATTTATGATATTTGCCAACAAAGATTGATACACGTAGTTTTCTTTTTTTATATACAAATATGTTTTAATATACAAACAACAATACAATTTAAAATAACAGTTATTACAAACAATGATTTATATACAAAAGTTTCAAAGCAATATAAAGTCTTCTTTCTAGTCTGGAGCTTCCTTGATATCTTATCGAGGGTTTACGATGAGCGAGTTAATTTCGAGTTGACGTAGGTATAATTCACTTAACAGGGAGCTAGCTAGCCCTATAGTTCTCGCTGATCACACGACGATTACAGGTCGAGTTTCCACTGATGACGTTAAATGGTTTGTAGTGTTCGAACTTTATAAACGTTCCTGGTCAAATATGTAAAGTTTCCAGATTAATAAGCGTTAATCAGAGTTATAGCTTACGAAGTTTATAGCACACCGATTACAGCAACCCAATAATAGTTACTTTTTTTGGCGCGTCGCTTTGGTTATATATATATAGGTATGTGGAGAGTTTCTCGAAAATTCAGATTACGTAACAATATAAAGCTACATTAGCGTTTACGTACATACTTATATTGTTGATTTTTACACTCGAGAATTTTCTACAACTTTAGAGAACATGCGAGAGTTTCGTAATACATGTTTTCAGTATAATTTATGTACATTTCTAAATATAAACTAAATTTAAACAAATATCGATATTAAAATAAATATGGAATAATAAATCCGTTACAATATAAAAATGTACCATGTTCAGATATGAGGGAAACATAACAACCTGATCTGTAGTTAATAAACGAAACTACCTACTGATGTTTCACATCGTTCAAATAGACCATTACAGCTGTGTAGGTATGTTATAAAATTACAGTATAGCTGTCATTTTATTTTGTTCCCACACCCTAAAGTACTTAGATAAGTGAAATGTATAGACAGGCCTTCTTCGTGTTATTGTTTTGATCCATAACTACCGGTTTTCCGAGAATCATTACACAGCGTGGTCACAAGTAAATAGACACCTAATTTTTCGTCAATTA